TCCGGAAAAAAAAAACACAATGCTATTTTGTGATTGCAGCGAGTTAGTTTCCTATAATTGTATAACGATGCGGAGAAATACGATTAGGTGTTCTCTGGGGCTCGCCATAATAAAGATAGCTTGCATCATTATCAAGCCATAACCATATCGAATGTACACGTAAAAACAAATCTAATTGTAAGTGATTTGATTGAACTTTTTTTAAGACGAATTGACATATTTATTACGAGAACTATTACGATAATTACGAAACCCATGAAACTCGCTAAAATTCCTCGAAATATACTTGAAAGATCTTAATTAAATCAGAAGCTTATCTTAATCATGGCAATATACATTGCTAATAATAAGATTAGCAACATATATTAGCATTTTATTTGATCCTATATAATGTTAAAATATTATTTTAAAAGCTAGATTATTCACAAAAATACGTCAGTCGTTAATTAATCGAAAATACACAGTGTTATTGTAATCTCCGAAATAGCAACTCGAACAAAGTACTCGGTTAAACATTTAGGGAATCGCTTCTTATTGCCGGGGGAAAACAAATCAGATATCTGGAATAAGACGTATATCTGAAGAGATCTACATTATTATTCCGAGACTTTCACTCTTCCATTTCAACCGATTAACGAGAGGCGATTGTTCCAATTTACTGTGCGAATCGTTCTGCAAAGCGCAGTTCTGGAGTCACGGTTTAGAAAGAAATTAATATGTCATTGTTGTATACTAACGAAAACACAATAATTCTAATAGATCGTGACGAAGCCGGAAATCGTCGCGCGATTCTCATTTGAAAATCTCGAGGATAATAAGCGCGTGCATTCACGGCTCTGGCAAACGGGACAGACCTGGCTCATTATCTGCTTCCGCTTGCAAAGAATCGATTAATCATGCGCATTAAAGAGGATTTTACACGGTTCACTGTCGATGATACTCCTGGATCATATTTTTATCCATTGTCAAGCGATTCTGATTTGATAATGTCTTATAATCGTACTTGACGATTTTATACGATAATTATTTCTAGCGTGATAGATAAACGCACCACGTGGCATTTAATATTATTTGAGATAAATTTTATTTTTATAGAGTATCAATCTGAGACACAGCTATAAATATACTTATTGTAATATTAAAAATCAGAAGGTCGCGAGAAATGCTGAGTTTTTGAAAATCGTCTCCGTTTATGCAAAGTTCTGCCATTAGCTTTCAAGGTGAGATATTTTGTCTAGAATACGTGATTATAATTATGAAAACAATTCAATTTTATTGAAGATATTACATTATTATCAATTTATCTATCATTATTGCTTCATTTGCCTAGCAGTTTTACATTGTTTTATTTCTTTTTTGTAACTTGCGTTACATTTTTTTTTTGTAATTCTCACGATTCGATCGGGATTATGGCCAGTCAAGCCGTGTAAATATGTCTCGAAGTGCACGCGTGTGTGCGTGCGCGCGCGCGCGCGTGCTTCCTCGTGCGTAAGTGGACTTGGCTCGATTAGTCGTCTCGCTGAATCTCGTGCCATCGATGCCCACCTACGATCTACGTTTCTCGTTTCTCTGTTCGCAGCCTGTCAGTGAGTGGACGTCGGTGAACGTAGTTGAATGGATGTCAGCCTTAAATCTGTACCGCTATGCGGACGTCTTCAAATCGAAGGACATCAAAGGCAGCGATCTGCTTCATCTGGATCGGGAAAAGCTCATGGTAAGCGGATCATCTTAATTACTCATTAGCATACCGGTCGTCCATATATCTCGGGATTAAAGTAGCCAATGCCATTCGGCGGACTTAGAGCCGCCTCGGAACGAAGGAGCTTCAAATGTGGGACATTCGTGATTGCTATCCGTATTAAATTATATTATTATAATTAGAATAGATTTTCTTTTATTGGTAAATCACACTCTTTATTCTGCTTTTACTATAATATAGTAATCCTGATAACAAGCTGATTATAACCATTTAATTTAATGAATGGTAAAGTTCTAAATGAAGGCATACAATGGAGTCATTATAACGTACTCTACTTCGCTTTTTTTTTTACAAGATTAGTGCAACGATTTTGAAATGATGTGTAATATTAACTAAAAATTTTATATATTTATATAGAGTTAAACATAAGTTACGATTGAAAATTACTAGTTAAAGCAATACTTGAAAAACTAAGCAAAGATTAAATGAGATGTTTTTGCTTTCTAATATCGTTTATCCATATTCCGCCAATTGCAACGGAATGGTAAGATTAAATCGATTCCTATACTCTATATTAATCTTGAAACAGATTTAGATTTAATGAGCGATAATACTCTGTTCTCATTCACTCGTTGGTTAATTACTTTATTATGAAATTTCTTTTTCTCGAATTTACCGACGATTCTAAAAGCTCCGGCAAATTCCTAATGATAACCGGCCATTTTCTCCGCGATCGGTTAATTAATCCTTTCCCATTAACTCGGTTTAGAAAAATGCGTCTGTTAGATGCTTATTAGAACTAATTAGCAGTAGGAATTAATGCACCATACCGAGCTACACTGCGCAAGGAGATTGCGTGGAAGACTGTTTATTTATCTTATTATCGAATGGAAAGATTTCTGTTCAGAGAAACTGTTCGGCGAATATCGAACGATCTAACGGGGCGCTGTTAGATTTTTGCGATGAGCATTCGCGACCGCGACACGCATGATCACGAGATAGAAACGTGCAAAAAAAATGCAAATTAAGTTTCTTGCATTTTCGTGTCCCACTTGATTGAAATTTAATTCTGCGACAAACAATCGTCAGCAATTTGTTCTGAGCTATATTTCTACTTTTAGCATGCGCACATATTCCAATTCTTCAGGTTTAAATTCGATATATATTGCTGGCATGCAAGCTCGAACACGCACGTGGTATATATTTGACCGAATATCCGCCTTATGGCCGATAAATTTTCAGTTATTTATTCCGCGTTATAAATTTTTTAAGGGGGGATTTTCGGAAGGAAAAGAAGTTCGTCTTAAAGCGTTTTATTTTTACTTCAATGTGTATATTGCCACATTCCGAAATTAAATAAGTCCCCTTGAGCTGTCTAATAATAGAATGAAATTCGCTAATATTTTTCTTTCGACTTCAACATCTTTCACGCATCTATAAATGTGTTGGAACACAGTTTCGTACGGAATTTCACACTCTAGTTTTATATGAATTTTTACACGAAGATCTGTCAACTCGCAGCTTCCACTTTTGAAGTAAAAAAAGTAGTGAAACGACGTCTTTTATTGCGAATGGTAAAAATCTTTTGATCTTCTTTTTTTTGCTTTATGAATTATCAGTTCTTGGTCTTCGCTCGTTTCGGGTCGCATCGGGAGTGAAAAAGGCGGAATCGCGCGATCAAAAATTCTTCGGCTAGAGTGCTCGGCAGAGACGATGACCTCGAGCCGAGAGTATCTGGACGACGTTTTCCTTGGCCCGTTGACCTTGTAATTGCCCTGTAGCGTCTGCTGGTACGCCACAGTCGAGTCTTTATCGAATCCCCCTCTCGATATATCTCTCTCTTCCTCCACGCCGTTCCGCGCCGATTTTTCTTTATCGTCGATCACGAAGCGACTCGCGGAGCTTTCGGGCGCTTTCGGCGCTCCGGCGACTTTCTTCATCTCGTCGCCGAGCGAAGAAGATTCGTTGCGATTCCGGCTTATCTTCAGCAGCGTTACTACACGCTCACTGTAAAGTCCAACACGCAAAATCGATACGTTATGCAGCGGGAGGGTATAGAAGGCGAGCTTGATTTAATGAGATCACTTTTATCGACGCAGCGCGTCACTTTCCGTGATGCATTTTATCGCGCTTTTTTATTAACTTCTTAATAGCTCTGCGATTTCAGACGCTCTTTTTATTAAGACGACAAGATTGACCGACACGATTTTTGTACATCTGCCGCGATTCTATTACCACGCAGCTACTTTAATTCCAACGCAATCGCTTTCTGTATCGCTGCCAGTGCAAAAAAATTGTGGCAGGATTATCGCATAAGTATAATGCACGAAATGTAATTTGCCGTGCCACGAAGTATCGCGATAATTTATTATTTATAATTCCTCGAATTTTTGGTATTTCGACATAAATAACGATATATTTATTATCGCATTCATTATTATTATTATTATTATTATTATTATTATTCTGTACCTATGTCGCAACGGCAAATTTAGCAACATAAAAAAACGGTTTTCTTTAAATCTTTTAACATTTTAAGAAATGCTTACGAAAAATAATGTAATGTAATATTAAATCTGCCTTAATAATTACAACATATTTGTTATAAAGAAATGTTGATTATAAAGAGTTAAAAAGTATTTTCAACAATAATGGATAAGATATGAAACGTACATCTTATGATTGATAACGCGCTGAAACAATGTTAGATAAATATTGTAGTCGTGAAGGCGTAGCCTTTACTATCGCCAACGTGCAACATAAAATAAATTCTGTTACGAAATATATCAGAAAAACAATTTCATATAAGACGCGACTTTTTTTTATATCCGCTGACTAAGTCTTTATTTTATATATTTTTTTTCCTTCTTAATGACCGCGCCGTGCATAGTTAAAATGCTAAATAAATGCGGCCGCAATGAAAACGCGCATACATATATTGCCGGGATATAAGTATAAACTCAACGAAATATATGCAATTCTACGGAACACAATGCGAAGGTGCTTTTTTTTCTACGTTGCGAGACGCAGCCTTTTGTACCCGGTGACCAGAGAATTTGTTCATAACGATTCAGTGGCGTAGCTGGAATCATTGCATTCTTATGCGAGTCTTGAGTATCTTATTAGTGTGCCATTGCATTGCTTTGTTACAGCCACTGTTAAGATACACGTTTTAGGTAACGTCGAATTTGAGTTCTTTCGCAATAAGTACCTGCGTCGACAGTACAAGCGTGCAGATGCAATTAAAACAAATTTTGGTTCGACATTATTAAAAACGTCTAGCGTTAAAGCGGAATGCAGCGCTTTTATCTTTCGCGCGTATCTTCTAACATTTTTTTTTTAAGTATCGGGCAAGAGAAGGAGCGATAATAGCGAGTTAAACTCCTCTTATTCCCGCCGCGCGCGGTAGCTACGCCGCTGTAATGATCGCATCGTGCATGCGTTTTCTTCCCCCCTCCCCCCGCGCGTTACCACGCGCCGCATTATCATAATTATGCGAGAGGCCCGCGCGCGCGCGCGCGCGGAGTAACGGGTCGAGACGGACAATCGAATTACACGCCGGCCAGCCGTATTGGCCTAAGTTCTCGGCACCGATGTTCGCCGTGGGAAAACGGGCGTTTCTTCGGATTGTAATTACACCCGCGTTTTCCACGGCGTGACGTCGGTGGTGGCGGCGGCGGCGGTCGTGCGAGACGGTAATTGCGCTCGTTCGCTCGCGCGGGCGTGTAATAAAAGCGGCTTGAATTGCAAAAATCCGCCTGATGGAGTCACGCCTGAAAATCCGCGGACGCGGGCTAAGAATAAATTAGGACGCGTTAATTCGAGAGGCCGAATCCGTCCGTCCGCTGATCGATAATTGTGCGGGAATATTTACTGGGTTGTTACGAAACTAATATCACATCCGGAGATTCGTTTGCCTCGATCGTTGCTATACTTTGGATTGATCTTGAAGAGTCAGACGGAACTCTTGTAATGTTTATTTCTATCAATATGGATTAACTTTAATCTCGGTTTAACTTACTTTTTATCTTTTTCTGCACTGTTAAAGGTTAGAGGATGAAATTTAAACCAATACCATGAGTTAGATTTATTTTGTTATTTTTAACTACCATGTGCGTCACAATTTATTAGTTTGAAACAAAATAGGATTATTTTAACTCCATTGGTTTAATCAAATTAACATTGTTTTAGTTAAATTAACTACATATTGAGTAGGAGCAGTGGCGACCTATGGAATAGTTAAAAATTACTCAAAATTGAGTTTAATTTAACTCTATGAATTTAACAGTGTGGAGTTCTTAGAATCAGAATAAGATAAAAATAAATTAAATCGAGATTAAAGTTAATCAACATTGGTAGAAATCGACATTACTTGTTCCATTCTTCGGTGTGGAATCAACTTTTATACACTTTCGTGAGAATTGGTACCTCGGATAAATTGAGAAATTTTTCTTCACCACGATTTCCGATTATCAAATCGGTTTCTGATTGTCGATCCTCCTCAAATAGGGATTCTGAATTTAGCTTCGATTCAGCGTTCCTCACGGGGCAAAAGTGCGCGCGTCTCGCCAAGGCTACTCCGAGCGTAAATCGCGTATTATCATACTAATTGACTCGTAAATCGACACTGCATGTTCCTTCAGTGCGAGAAAATCGTTTGTGCCTCCCACTCGGCATGTCCTTCGGCCAGATTTTCCCGCGACGAATGCGCGGCGAAATAATAAAAGAACGGTATCTCCCTTAATTTTTTCGCCGCGATTCTCTCTTCCTATATAAACGCGTTTCGCCATTGCTTTTCCGAGGGATTCTTTTCAATTCGGTTTTATGAAGAATTTAATTCACGTTAGACACATTCCGGTTTAAGAACCCATTGCCGAGGAATTATTTTATTGAAGTGACTTACGGCGGACCTTTCTAAAATTAAAATCCGCTTCTTACAGTGCTCCCTGACGTTTTGTTTGCGCAAGAAATAAACGGGGGATGCGCAAAGTGCGCGAGTACTTCGGGCGAATTCTCTCCCTGTGGCGAAGCAGCAGAATTCTTCCGAGCCCGGTCTCTTGGCACTTGGAATAAAATAACGAGCGCGTCAAATTTTATCGCCGCGTTCTCGCACGGCCGCGTAATATATCGATCACTTTACTTTTGCCGGCTTGTCGCCGCTAATAATAGCGTTTGGCCCACTGCGCGCCGTGGCGCCGCGCGCCGGCCGAAATAGCGCGCCATCGCGCGAGAACGCGCGCGCGCGCGCGCGCATAAATGAATAATTCGAAAAAGAAGCCAGCTGCCGGAAGTGCTCTCCGTGGAACTGGATTTATTTTTCTTGCGGTACAGAGACAATTTACGTAAAATGAAATCGCGTTGGCGTTCTATTTTCCGCGTCTTCCGTTCAACTTTTCTCTTCGAATCTCCCTTTTGCAGGAGGAGCTTCCTCTTCTCTCTTGGAAAAGAATGTCTTTTATCAAAGGGTCGACTGTTTGAAATTTGCTTTGCGCGAGTAACAGAGAATTCGCAGCGCAATGTAACCTTTGAATTTTAATGCTTTCGTAAGAAAAGTACATTTAAAGAGTGTACGTGCTTCTGACTTTTCGATAACTTTTTAATCGTTCCTTAAACGACAGAAGAGTTTCTCAAACTAGATTCCAAGATCGAGTCGTTGGAGGTGGAAAACGTGCAATTTTTCAGTCGCGTCGACGCCGGCGAGACGTTAAAACAAATGCGGCTCCGAGCCTGGCTTGCTCGCGTCACGCTCGTAAACGTATAAATGCGGGGAAATTCAAATTGGACGCGAGCGCGAAGAAAGAAAGCTATACGGTCAAGTGATTCAGCGGGGACAATATTAATACGGGAATACTTCCTGGAACTTTGCGCGCATCGACATTGAATCGGTCGATTAAGATAACGTGTGATTAAACGCGCGACTAATCGCGCGACGATTATCTCATCAAGCGCGCCCAGTAGCGAATATGCAATTCACTGACGTATATCATTCCGCATCGCACGAAGGTTGCCAACATTTTTACTCTCGCCTCTGTAATCGAGGCAGCTTGTTAGCACATTTGACGAGTTCTTAACGCATTCGCACGTTCTGCGAGAGGTAGAGAAACGCTAGGGAAACGTAGAAATACAGAATTTCATTCGTTTCGCTTCGTATGATGGATCTTAGGAGTTACACGTCAGTTATAATTATAATTACAGTTTATACAGTCTGTCCTATAATTATCATATTTCCAGCTACAATTAGCCTTTTTTTAATTAACCGCTCTGAAATTATTCCGTCAGGTGATACTTAATGATAAACGTAATTATAGAGTAACGAATATATACATTTTTTAAGGGGGGAAGGATTATTTATGCTGACCACCCCGTGCGCCGATATTTTGGTCGGCATTCTAAGTATTTAATTTTTTTTATCAGCAAATCTGTCTTTCTTTCTCGCTCTCATATTTCCGAAATACGCGAAACAACACGTTGATCAGCTATTATCCGGCATTCCACAAGTGGCATTCCCGGACAATCAAAGACACCGATCCGAGCCATTAACACGCGGCGTATACGACGTGTTGCGCAACAGATATACAGAATCGCGCGACTGAAGCGGCTGTAACGGATGACAAAGGCCTTTCGGGCTCCCCCGAAGGTCTCCGTTACGCGAATGCAACCCGCATATCGCGAACTCGCGAATCACCGGGGTGCATTATACCTCTCTCGCGAGCGCCGCCGGTGCAGGCAGGTATTGTTGCAGCGGTGCACACCCGACACCTGTTGCCTTGGCCGTGCTCTAGGGAAAACGAGATGCCTGCTGGGAGCGAGAACGCGGAGAAAGAGAGCGAGCGAGCGAGCGAGAGGATCGTAACGACGCGTATAAATTACGATCGCCCCGTTCGGCGTGTGTTTCACCCCTTTTACGAGCGCGGTGCTCCCGACTTCTCAACGTCCCCCTTGACTGATTTACCGCTGCGGTACCCGCGAATTATCTCCCCCCCTTTTTCGCTCTTTTTGCGATATCGCCACTCTTAGGGAGTATTTTCCGCGGCTACGCCCGCGAAAAGGGAGGCGGCACGCTGTAATTTATAACGCGAACAATCGCGAGCGATCTCCGCGGGGCCGGCCGGACTCGGAAAGCCTGAGAGACTCGCAGTAAATTTGTCGAGCAGGTCATATACCAATACTGGATACTAACTTAAAGACGCGTAAAAAGCGTGCGGCGTACGTAATAACATAATTATGGAATAATAATGCAAAATGTATATTCTGCGACGCGCGACGCCGCGATTGAATATTCATAACCAACGATGAAAGAATAGTTCCTTGAGAAAATTGCAGCAGCTCCCTCAGTCGAGAATTCAAAGCTATGTACGTATTTAAACGAATCATGTTTGCTATACAAAAAAGAAAGCTATTAATGAAAGCGAAAGGTTTAAACTCCTACATCGAAAAATCATGACATTACAATTAATTTAATTTTTGTAAAATTTTGCGATGGTATTCCGCGCGAAATTTTATCAGACCAAAGTAATTTTGACTGGCAAAATTATTCCGTTCGTGAATGACCAGAGGGACGATTTCCGTCGCGGCGAAAATGTGGGCCAGTGGATCTTAATCGGTCCGCTATCTCCGAAGCGTTGAACTCTCGTTAGCGCCTGAGTTATTTACGACAAGCGCATTATTTTCCCTCATTAGTCACCGTGTAACTGTCCCCACGTTTGACTTTGTCACGCGTTATGTGCCCGCTCTTTATAGTCGCGTCCGCCGCGTCGCGATCTTGGCTCGCGCTACATCCATGCAGATTTACAACCGTCGTCGCGGCGTCGTCGGGATACGCGCCCGTCTTCGCCGGTAATGCGGCGGAAAAGTCTCCGGCTCGGTCCTTGATTCTGTAGAATTGGTCCCGAAGGACCTTCGCCGTCTTCCGTGAATCGCATTAAATTGGTCAAAAGTCACAAGAATGCCTCAAGTTGTGGTCTTCAAGTATTCAAATCGAGAAATTATAATTTCACAGCAGTTGGATAAAAAATTTATTGTATGTAATATATTATATACGTTACGTTTCAGTATAATGCAAATATAATGTTTATTATTAAATAAATTAAATCGATTTTTTGAAAACAAAGTTGTCTAAAACGAATTCAGCGGAATTTTAGTTTGACAAACATTATTCTCACGTTCTAATTTTATTTTAAACATTATTTTTTAATGAATTATTTTTTGATCTAGTGAAGTGAAAGATTATTTTCTCTTTTCTGTGGAACAGGTTTTACAATACATACTTTTATATCTAAATGAATTAGCTCGTTCGTTGCAAGAAAAATCATCGTAATAATTTGTTAAAAATTTGCACTAGGTATAAAAGACATTGATATTGTTGAGTCAATTTAACAAGTGACAAGCGTTCTTTGAGTCAATTATCACTTGTCATTTGGAATCAGGACTGGTTTTTTAAGTGCATTATTGTCTCATCAATTGTAACGATGTTCTCTACTTTACAAATTGTATTACTTCTCGATGTTCTTTACCACTACTTCAATACTTATATACAATCTCGCGTGTTCTGAGCTAGTGGGTAAATGACTTCACTTCTCTTATTAGCAAAATATCGTTGATTCCTAGATTAAACTAGCGTTTCGTTTCTCCTTGCTTTTTTTTCATTTCGAGTTTATTGTGAGTAGATTAAATTCGAACCGTAACGTATCTTGAAAGAACCAGATATCTTTCTTCATTCGAGCGCACGCGAGACATCATCGTGTGATTTCTCGTTGCAGAATATGGGTATAAAAGATGAATTCCATCAGAGGAACATTTTGGTGTGCATCGAGGAACTCTGCAAAGCGTTGCCACCGCCCCCGGTGGCGATGGAGACGATGGGCTCGGCACCGACACCCGGGACTGTCGCTGTCGAACCGGCCCTTGGAATCAACTATCCGGGCAACAACCTGGCCAATAACGCGCACAATCTCGTACCGCACAGCTTCAGCGTGTTGGAGAAATGCGGCAAATGCCATAAATACCTCAGGGGCCTCTTACATCAAGGCTTCCTCTGCCAAGGTACGTTTCCGTCCTTTATCGATGTCGAGCTCTCCTAATCCGTTAAATCCTAATCCGTCTTTTTCAATGAATTGAACTTTGAACGGGTGACGCACAAAAGAGCTCGATTGAATCACTTTGCGTATTTTAGTCCTTCACATTCGCCGGATTCCTGCACGCCTTCGGACATTACAAATTAGTTTGTATATATGTGGTGGTGTTGCCCTATCTCTTTAATTAATTCTCTAAATTAATGGGCATTTTTAATGGGTTCATGATATGTGTATCTTTGAAAAAATTGCGTAACTTCTAAAGATTTTATCAGAGTTGTCAAATTCATCGTCGGTAAACATTTCTAACATTCGTGTTTACTCTTGCATGACAATCGTGCCGAATGAAATTCTGTAAACCAGAATAAGTGAATTAAACGAAAAAAAAAAGAAAGAAAACTATGCGTGTTTTTCGCGTTGTTGATTACGCGAATTTTCTGCGTTGCGCAGATTGCGGGCTGGTCTCTCACAGGACGTGTTCAGCGACGGGTTTACCTTCCAATTGCATATCGGCCGACTCGGACAATCGTATCAGCAGGTTTACTTCAGGTAAGTCACGTCGCGCGGATTGCCGCCGTCGCCGTGGCAAGTTTTATAGTTGCCAGGCACGGCTCATTAATCCTTCATCGTGTGTCTCTAATGGATAGAACACGGAAAGTCGCTGAAAAATTTAGTTGTCTTCCAACGGGGCGGGAGAAACGTATTGCGTCAGAAACACGATTGCTAGCATCGGGCTTGTAAGCAGCCGGCGCGCGCGGCGATCGCGCGAGTTTACGAAGTTGACGGCAAGGACGCCCCGTCCTGGCGCCTAGCTAGCCTGGCCGCTCGCACCTCGTTACGATAACCTGGATCACTTCACCGAGGCTCGCGCACCTCACGGCTGACGGCTTTCTTCCATTGAAATCCCTCCGCGTCGCGGTCGCGTGGGAGTCGCCTCACTTGCTGGAATTTAATGATCCTTAACCGAGCGTGCGGGTTTCAACACACGGCTTGCAGTTTCTCGCTCCGCGCGCAATGCGTTCTCCGTTCTTTACAAAAACTAATGTCCACGGGAAAACGTTACGGCGGCCTACAACATATGTCAGCGCGGCTTGAATTTATTTCGATTCGATCCTTGCGATCGTACTTCCGTTATTCTCGTTCAACATTCGCATATCCGTACGCAGAACGTTAAAGTATATTTGTTTCCAGAGTAACAAGATAGTTCTCGAAGGAAAAAAAT